AAGCATATTTCTAAACATACTACACCAGATTGCTTTCCATTGTGTCACCTTCTTGTCTCCCTACACTGAGGAAGAAAGTTATACCTATTCAAGGGGAAAGTGCCACCAGACGGCACATAAGCGAATGTGATTTGAGCCTATCCTACAAAGGGCTCTTATACATGTGAGTGAAAATGTTTTAAAATGATCTCCAAACATAACAGCTATACGGATTTACGCTATTGCTTATCTTCTTTTTATTTTTCATGTACACATGTATCTGAATTGGATGTAACATATGTGTTACCGTTACGATAAGACCAAATCCCCCATTTAAAGGGTAGGTGTCCAATTTATATACCAAACACTCCACTCTTGAGGTGAATTGCTCTTGGCTTTTTTACTTTTTCTTTGGTTCTGCACTTGAGGGAAGAAAGACTAGAAGTTCTGTTTTGGACAAGTTGAGCTTAAGGAAATGGGTAGCCATCCAGTTAGAAATAGCAGAAAGGCAGTCAGAGATACTATTGAAGAGGGGCGGGGAGAGGTCAGGGGAGGATAGATAGATTTGTGTGTCTTCCACATAGAAGTGATATTGGAAGTTATATAAATTAGATACAAATTAAATACTTAAAGCAATTACTTATTAATTTTATATATTTTTACCATATGTTTTCTTTGTCATACACTTGAATTCCCAGTAAAAAAATTACTTATGGTATGGTCAGAAATGGTCTCATATAAAATCCTAGATTCACAATTTCAAAGCAGGTCAGTTTAAAGTTTTCACAACAAAGCACTTTTTGTTGAACAACATTTGCTTACTATTTACGTGAAATATGGGGTGCATAACTATTACGTAAAAATATAGAAACATAGAAACATAGAATGTGACGGCAGATAAGAACCATTTGGCCCATCTAGGCTGCCCAATTTTCTAAATACTTTCATTAGTCCCTAGTCTTATCTTATAGTTAGGATAGCCTTATGCCTATCCCACGCATGCTTAAACTCCTTTACTGTGTTAACCTCTACCACTTCAGCTGGAAGGCTATTCCATGCATCCACTACCCTCTCAGTAAAGTAATACTTCCTGATATTATTTTTAAACCTTTGTCCCTCTAATTTAAGACTATGTCCTCTTGTTGTGGTAGTTTTTCTTCTTTTAAATATAGTCTCCTCCTTTACTGTGTTGATTCCCTTTATATATTTAAATGTTTCTTTCATATCCCCCCTGTCTCGTCTTTCCTCCAAGCTATACATGTTAAGATCCTTTAACCTTTCCTGGTAAGTTTTATCCAGCATTCCATGAACCAGTTTAGTAGCCCTTCTCTGAACCCTCTCTAAGGTATCAATATCCTTCTGAAGATACGGTCTCCAGTACTGTGTACAATACTCCAAGTGAGGTCTCACCAGTGTTCTGTACAATGGCATGAGCACTTCCCTCTTTCTACTGCTAATACCTCTCCCTATACAACCAAGCATCCTGCTAGCATTTCCTGCTGCTCTATTACATTGTCTGCCTACCTTTAAGTCATCAGAAATAATCATCCCTAAATCCCTTTCCTCATATGTTGAGGTTAGGACTCTATCAAATATTCTGTACTCTGCGCTTGGGTTTTTTCTACGTCCAAGATGCATTATCTTGCACATATAATTTAAAAAATAGTATAGATTGCTTTCAGACAAATGTGAAGAGTAAAATAATGCAAATGTCATCCATTTTGGTTTTTTTCATTTAATTATTCCTCCTTGGTAGACTTTTTTGAAGGGGAATGATAAGCTTTAGAATGTTTATAGTATCCTGCATCTTGCAATATTTCACTCAAGTTCTGAAATGTTAGTATAAAAGCAAAAATATTTATTTTCTTACATACAGTGTGCAATCTTCTAAAGTTCTAAAATAAATATATTTAACAATGTGCTATAGCAATCTTTATCGATCTCTGGAAAGTTAGTGGAATACTAACAGTAAAGTGGGAGAGCTTATTCACATTAGCAGATATTAAATAAGTGAAATTGATTTCTGGCAGATAAATTAATTCCACTAAAGGCTGGTCAACCTGAATTATTGTTAGAATGACTCAAAAACAATCAAACCAATTTTTGTAAATGATAGCAACCTGCAGGAAATCCAATTGGTTTTAAAACTATTTTTTATAAGACTAATGATTAACTATGGTACTAATCTGATACAGTTTACAGATTATAGTAAAGTTTTAAGGTGTACGTCTAGTCCTAAATTCTTGGATTCTTTATATGTAAGTGACTTGGCAGTACAATCACCTTTATCCTTAAGCTGACCTCTTATCAGCAAGTGAGATGGGTCAGAGCTAGTGATGTCCCGAACTGTTCGCCGAACGGTTCGCGAACGGTTCGCCACGAACGGTTCGCCACGGACTCATCATTGAGTAAACTTTGACCCTGTACCTCACAGTCAGCAGACACATTCCAGCCAATCAGCAGCAGACCCTTCCTCCCAGACCCTCCCACCTCCTGGACAGCATCCATTGTGAAGCTGCATTCTTAGTGAGCTGTCCAGGAGGTGGGAGGGTCTGGGAGGGAGGGTCTGCTGCTGATTGGCTGGAATGTGTCTGCTGAACGAAAACAATGTGCTGAAAGGTTATAAAGGGTTGTTTGTCATTATTAATGTTAGGTGCGTAGAGTAAAGCAGGATACAGAGACTCAATGGCCTGGAATGATTTTGCTCCGACTTGCAGCACAACAGCTTGTAAATTGCACCAAAAAAAAGAAAGAAAGAAAAGTTAAAAATTAAAATTTTAAAAAATGTGTGACTCCAGTAAGTAAATCAACCCTATTATTTATTATTATTTAAATAAGAAATACAATTTTCTACATTTATTGAATGCTAAATAACATTTACATAATTCAGTAAAGTAAGTAAATTTCAAAATCAAGGTGGAAATATTAAAACTTACATGCTTCCAGTTCATCTACCTTGGACTTAAAAAAAAGTTACTATATTTAAAAGACCAATTAATGGGAAGAACTACCAATCACCATGTTTTTTAAACCACTCAATTACTAGAAAATAGTAATAAAAGCAAATTGATGTCTTTAAATAATTGGTTTGAAGGAACCTCAAGAAAAAATAAATAAAATTATATAAATAGTAGCTGTGCACATGAAGCCAGTGTTCATCCTGTTCAGAGACAACATGGCTGGAAGCATAAAATGTGGTTAATATACGTTTATGACCCTGTGGACTGAATTGTGTGGAATTGGTGATTCCAGCAAAACAAAGAAAGAATGAAAGCATAAGTATATAATATTAACAATAACTAGAAAATACCTTATCTCGCTCTGTCACCAAACATCATAACAGTACCCAAAGGTCAAATATTGACAAGAATATGTACTGTGTACTGTAAATGCTTATTCTACAAATGTGCGTTTAAGGGCAGAGAGAGAGTTATTTTTAACTTTGCTATGGATTGTGTGATTTATCTACCTTTATTTACTAGTTTAATTTAATTCTAAATGTTTACAATTGCCACATTTAATTTTTTTTAATCTCCATTAGGTCCAAATTTAATTGCGCTAGAAGTATTACTATTTATGACTTATCAGTTTTTATTAACAATACAATGATGTCCACTTGTAGGTTAACAAGTATATCCTTTTGCCGGATGTGTAATAAAAGGGAAAAAAAATTCTGTACCTTAAAGAAAAATAATAATCATTATATTTTTTTTCCAAAGTAGTTAAATTAGCATATTGATATATATAAAATGTCTTCCGGTGCATGGTGCGCATAATAAATTGTCTGTCAAAAAAGCTTTTTATTTTCTCTCATATAACAGCAGCTAAACTTCTAGAAAGTTGTTAAACCTGCTATTATTAGTAGTATTCTTTTTTATGTTACAAATACATATACATAGAGTCTTTTGGCCACCTATCCCTCAATGTTCCAACAGAATCAAAAAATGCTAAATTACACCACTTCTCACTATTCCTCTTGGTGAATCTGCATGCTGCCTTTGATACAGTAGGCCAGCCTCAGTGTTTAAATTGCTATGAGGAAGTCTGAGTGATCAGACAAAACACGCTTGCTTAGTTTTGTGGCATATCTAAAACTCCGTGGTGGAAGTGAGCTGTACCCAGAAATATCCTGCGTTCACCGATTCCCTGCAATGCCGGTTCAGTGGGAGCTTTGAACAAGCAAGTGTACACCTGAGCAACTTAAATAACACCTAGCAGGAGAGCAGGACAAGGGAATTCGTGGAACCAAACCGGAGTGGTCAACATTATATTTGATATTTAAGTCACAGGCCAAGATTTGTGGTGTTTGAATTGGAGTCTATGAATTTTAATGTATTGTATATACAAAGAGTGATATATATAGATTGCAATAGACCATATTGCCCTATATATATACTTTTTTTTTATACATTCTTTATTTTGGGGGATTTCTTTTTTGTTTAGGGTGTGGGTACAGAAAAGAAAAGTTGGGAGTACAATTGTAATACACAGTTTACAGAGTTAACATATTCTCATGTAGTATATGACCAGGCTTTTTCCGTTTTGCGTGTCTTTTGGCTTTTCCATGGGGTTTGGGTGGGTTACAGAAAAAAGAAGGGAGGGGGGTGGGGTACAGTCACATACATTTTCTTTTGTATCACCGTTTAATTCAGGTTCTCTTTATGTTGGTGTTTCTGGGTGGTTTTGGGAGTGAGTTGGTCTGTGTGAGCCTTTTGCGTGGTGGCGTGTCCGTGTTGGTTTGTGTCATGCGATGATTGTGAGTATTCTTGATTGGGGTGGGAGTGTGGGGACGAAAACTTGGGGGTTCATTTTTGCATGTTATGTATTACTGCCAACATTACGTATGCTCGAGTATGGCCGTTTTGCATGGCTCTCTGTCTTGTCTGGGGGAGCAAGAGGGGTACAGAGAAAGGAAAGGGTGGGGGGTAGGTTACATTCACATACGTTTTCCTATGTACTTTTCGGTTTAGGTTTGGTCCATGTTATATGGAGTGGCCGGTTGAGTTCGTGAGAGTGTCGACCTGTGTGGGCTTTTTGCTTGTTGGTGAGTCCGTGTTAGTTCGTGTTATGCGGCCTTTGTCGTGCAGTGCTTCTGTTCTGTGGTAGGACTGATTCGGGTAGGCCCCTGATGCGTATGTTTTGTCTGCGGGATCTGTTGTTGAGGTCCTCCAGGCCATCTTCCAGGTAAAGCATTCTGTCTTGTAGGAGCTCTGTGTCCCTGTTGAGGGCTGTAGTCTTTGTTTGTGTTTCCTTTATCAGACATTTGTTGTGGTCTGTGCGTGAGGTCAGTACCTCCATTTCTTTTTTGGGAGAGCTGCAGGCCCATGTGTCTTACTCCATGGAAGGTTAGGTTCTGCCCCTATATATACTTTTTATTTTAAAGAATGATTTTTTTTGGGAAAATAAAATACTTTTATGCAAGTAAGTGCCACACATTTTTGTAGGTTGGTCCTTTGCACGGGGGTTCATTCTTTTGTTTTATGGTATCCATCCACTGTTTTTACAAATGTATCATTCTTTTGGCGTATGGACTACTGCTTATTCCTTGTACAAGTTATATCTCTCTGGTTATTCTTCCAGTATATCCTTTTTGTTGCTCTGTTCCCCTCTACTGCATTCTGTCAAGCTGTCCAAAAGTTCTGTCCTTGGAGCATTGCTTTTCTTTATCTATACCTCCTTTCTTGTCAACTTTATTGCTTAATTTAGATCTTTTTATATGATTTATATGTTAATGGCGCAATCCTCTACCTACTATCTACAGAATTGTGACCCTCTCTATTATCGTGTATCAGCCATTGTCTTTCCAAAATGTCTTCTTGAATCACATTCTGTTTCAGAAAATATCTCTTAAACTGATCTTTAGTGATCCCCTTCACCTTCTGTTCAAAGTTTGAAATCAGCCCTCAACTTCTCCACTCACTAAATCCTGTCTCTTCCATTTAAAGAACATCCCCAAGATACATTCATTTGTTTTTTACAATGTTTTTTTCATGAGTTTACAGAGTAATAAACAATAACATTAGGGCTGTTAGAAATTCCTTATAAAGGTCTCAATTTAATATTTTTGAATAAGCTTTTCAGACTATTTTATATTTTTGGATAAACTTTTACAATTATTTTTTCACAATATTAAAATGTCAAAAATACATTATATATTTACATATATCAGTATATCTAAAATATAAAACTATCATATCATTGAAAGTTTAACTAAAAATAATAATATCATTTGAAAAGCTTATTCAAATATTAAATCCCGGTCCATATAAGATAAGAATATGACACCACATACAACCAAAATAGTCATCCACTCTCTAATAATAACATTGGATTACTGCAACTCTGTTATTCCTAGCCTTCAACCAGCCTTCCCCACTCCTTAATCTATCATCAATATGTCTGCTACACTCACCTTACTTATTTTTCATTATCTGCTTCCTCACTTAGTCTGTCCCATAACTCCCTATTAGTAGTACCACAATAAAATTCAAGGTCCTAAAACTAGTCTTCAAAACTTTAACTAACAAAGCACCCTCTGCATCATTGCTCTTATCTCCAAATATTCTTTCACCCATCCTCTTCATTGTGTCTTGACTTGCATCGAACTTAGTTACTTCTTCACACTCCAGTCCACTCCCATGCTGATCCTGTGTTCAATTACTCCACCCTTTAATCACCCTAACTCCATAACTTTAGAAATTCTCAGAATATATACCTGTTCAAAGAAGCCTACCACCTTCCCATTTTAATACCTCATCAGTTTCTTATATCAACAAATCATTTGCAATCTTTCCTTAGCTATCACATGCTACAATGCATTCCCCAAACAGACTTCATTTCCCACACAACCACCTTACCTACAAACACTCACCCCAGGTAGATTGCAAGCTTGGAAAAAGGTATGTTTCAGCTGTGTCAGCTGTGTCAGCTGATCACTGTCAGCCAATCAGTGGCACCACTCCTGTAAGTGAAAAAGTGCCAGGAGAGGAGTGGACATCGCCGCTGGAGGCAACGTTCGAGAATGGTTTAACCCCTTAAGATAGAAGTGCCTCCAGGGGTCTCCTGGCAGCATAACAACTTAATTTAAATTAAGTTGTTTTGGTGCCTGGAGTGTCCCATTAAGTAAATGTAATTATTCTAACACTCCCCAGTAGGAATCAAATGCTGGGTAGAATTAGAACATGGCTTTGACTTCCCATCCCTTCCCATAGTAGTGTGCAAAATCCTGCCCTTTGCCTCCTTTCATACCCCCACCTCTAACAAACTCTACAAAATGACCAATGATCCCCATTCTGCGCAACAGGGCATTCCCCCAGGGCATGTCACCAAAAGATTTTGCACACTACTATCACTTTTTCGCAGCAGGGACCATAATCCCATGCAATGAACTACCATGACATAACTCAACATACAACACCCATGACATTTTCAGATACCTACAACTAAAACGCTTCCTAGAACTCCCAGAAAACACAACTGCATCCACCACCAAACTTTCAACTTTTGAACAAACCTGCATCCATAGCTCAGTCTACAAAGCTCAGATCATTGATAACTACATACTCTTAATTACTAATCAGCTCTCAGGGGCACTGGCTTATGTGTTGCCCTGGGAGAGGCACCCCAGAAGAACCAGCTGATTTGCAAGAAATATGGGAAGCTATGGCCTCTATATCTATTTGTGTAAACTACAAGAAGCAGGCCTATAAGACCATGCTCAGGTGGTATCTGACACCCACATGTCTCTACCAAATGGGTAGGTCAGGCTCGGGCCTATGCTAAAAGCAATGTGTACACAGGGGAACATATATTCACCTCTAGTGGCAATGCCCCAAATTGACTCCACTATGGACTGAAGTCGCAAAATTGGTCCCTGTCCTCCTTCAGATAACCATTCCCTTAGACCCGTGGGACCTAAAACCCTGGGACTCATTAACTAGAGCCAAAAACAAACTGACAAACAGAACAGCCCAGGCAGTGAGATGAGCTATAGCAGAGCTCTGGAGCTCACCAAACATACCCACTCTACAAACAGTTATCCGCAAAACAAACAAATCAATGGAAATGGATTGAATCTCAGCACGAAAATTCTAAACATTTCTTTAAGTTCTGGGAACCGTAGCTGAACGAGCCCTTACTCCAACAATGGATAGTCACAGCTGAAAAACCTCAACACACCATCAAACACTACCCCACGCTCCATACAGTTTGCATACTCACAATCCAAGGGAAAGGGAGAGAACAACAATTTTCCTTTTTCTTTTTTTTTCCTTTTCTTTCATAGTTCTGTAATGCACACTAGTCAACAATTAGACAGAAATCACTAGAAAAAAATCACCCCGCTTCGAGAGAAATTAAGACCTAACTAAAGCAGAGTACAACAGAGGGCGCCCACCGAACTACAATACCTAAGGGTTTCAGCCCAAGTCACTGCTTTGAGCCCACAAAGGAGCCTGGACTGGTTTTCCCCCCCACCCCCCATTAAGGCCTCACAAGGGCACTTCCTTTACTTCTCTCACCTGACTCGCACACATTTCATCCCACACCATCCTCATATCACGCCTCCTGGTTCCACACACAACCCTGATGTGATTAATTGAACCACAGTTCAGCTCACTGAACTACTGGCTATATCTGTTACTATCTGCTAACATTATTGTATATCTTTTTTCTTGTTTAGTTCTTGTTTTGTTCTCTATATTCTGATCCTTTATAACATTGGCTATATAGCAATAAGTTAACTCAAACATAGGCTGAAAACACTAACAGACAAAACCCTAAGCCGAACCAAAAGAACTCGGACTACTCTAACACAGAAATAAAGCCTCCAGAAAAGTAGTAAAGTATTGCACACCTATATATAGTTTCACCAGAGCTCTGTGGTAAAGGTCCAGTAACCTCTAAAGTACATCCAAAAGTGAAGATCCACAGGCTGCACAGTATAGGGTGAATAATCAAACTGGTTTATTGCCGTACGAACGACAAAACAGAGATACAATATTTTCTTTTGTGTATCTTTCCCAAGCCTGAAGCCCTTTAAGAGATCCCTCTCTACATACCTCAAAACAGAATGCACGTGTCATGGTTGATTATATATTTCCTACCTGTTCTATGTTACATTTTGTATATATTGTGTATTAATATTGTTTTTGTATTTTATTGTACCCTATTGTATCAATGTAATGTTTTGTGGACCCAGAACATACATGAAAACGAGAGAAATATTAATGTATCTTTCCTGGTAAAATATTTTAGAAATAAATAAATATAAATAAATAAACTTCTATTACAGATAAGCTTAGTGCTTCTTTAAGACCCCAGACTTATCATTGAATCCATTCTGTTCTACATTTTACGACAGGAAAAATTAACTAAATAACCAAAGTTACACAGATCATAATTATCATGCTGACATTTTTTGCTCCCTACTATTACAGTCTTAACTATATACTTATATACTATACTTTCCATCTACTTCCTGTCCTGTTGTAATATCAGCTGTCTGCAACAATGCATTCTCTTTCAAATCAAATTAAATTGTACATTTTTGTTCGTTCTTTTGACTGCATGCCCAATAACCATAAAAGAATTGGGAGCCACTGAACCATAATTAACTGCCCCAGTGAGACCATCAGTCAGTCTCCTCTTCCCTTCACATCAAATAACAAATGCATGATTGTAGAATGCAATTTGTGATATAATGTAATCCTTCATGCAATATGTATGTGTTTTGCTTATGAGAAAACTAGCGATTCTCAAAAAAGTTCATGTAATATTTGTTTTTGTTTTAGAATTGACTTTGGTACTTTGCAAAGATATCTTTCCTCAAACCTCGCATACATTTAATTATTTGATTGTTATATCACTACTCAAAATGGTGTGTGAAACAGTCAACTTAACGTCCATTACAAATCCAATCATTTTGTTGGTAAATACAGATGCTGAAGGGAATACTTGTGGTGCTGTAGGGAAGTGCCACAGTAAAGACGCAAAGCCATGAGACAGTAATTTATTATTTAATACCTTGAGTGTTTTGAAAAAGGATTCAGAATCAAATTTTAATTTTCTCGGAGCCAGTGAGAATTTTTACTTTCATAATGAATGTTTATCAATTGAGCGTGCCAATGATTTATAGCCTTCATTCTCATCTACAAGACAATCTTATGGAGTTTGTTCA